ATATAAAGTAATATAAAGCATGTAAAGTAATATTATACTTTTATATAAGTATGATGACAACAAATGTTATGTGTTTCAAAGAACAAACTTAAACATGGGTAGCAGAGGAGTCGGGGATATTCCTACTATATTTCATCCCCAGCAGACTCATACCCCAAGTATTATTCTTGGTGATAATCAGCAGAATCATGGCTCTCAAATTACTCATGACAATTCTGGTAAGTTCAAATTAAGTCTTTATTTAATGTGCTACATATATTATATTAATATTATATTTAACATTATTATACATATATTATACATATTATACATATATTATATTAATATTATATTTAACATTAAGTAGAGGCATATACATATATACATAACCTTTGTGTCATTTTATAATCTAATTAATTTGTTAATTTCAGTTTATATGAAATCATAGAAAAAATTAAAGAAATTTAAACATTGAAAGGATTGAAGAAATAATTAGAGAAATAGTGAAGTATCATTATGTGTTAAACGATTAATAATAGTATGGGAGGATGCACACAAAATGAGTCCAGTAGATTAGTCTTACGAATTAAGAACATTATTCTTATACTTAAAGCTGGGCACATTTCTATTCAAACAATAAAGTATAACTTCATTTGTAAATAAAAAATAAATTTTTCATTGAAATAATATCAGAAATAATTTATTTATTATTTTTGATTTTCAAATAAATGATTATTTGTTATTTAAATTATGTAGGTACAATAAAAATAATATTTTTAATTTTTAATTTTCTTTTATCTATTATATTATATAATAAAAGAGTTTTTTAGATATTATTGTTTTTTTAAATTAATTTTTTGTTTACTTATTAATTATTTTTTTAATAAATAGTTTGTAATTCGTGTTTGTCTTTACTTTTGAATTTTTGAACAGTTCTTACATGGTTCCAAAGAAGAGAATTAACTTTGTAGCAGTTTTTAATGTACTATACTCTATAACTCTCTACTCTTAATGTACTATACTCTAATTCTGCATATATACAAAATGATATACATAAATAATAAACACAAATAATAAATAATAAATGAAATTGTATTTGTAAATAAAAATTAATCTCATTTTAATTAATTTATTTAATTCTGTTCATATAATAAATAATTAATTTCTGCATTTTATTTAAATTCTCAAATAAGAAATAATTTTATATTTAAGTAGTTATTTAAATAAAGATTTATTTATGATTTCGTGGAAATTGGAAAATTGTTATATCTTATATATTAGATGTCTGAATATTCTTGTAACACTGTGTGCAATTACAGTGTGTTATAAAACTATTTACAGCAAAAAAAGGATATAAATGTACAATTTCTTGAAATTAGCAGAGTTCTGTTAAAAAGTGAGGACAGATGAGGAGTTCTTTACATAAGTGTAAAGAGTTCTTTACATAAATGTATCAAATGTGAAAATTAGATCTAGACTTGTAATACTTTGTGTGAGACACTTCGCTTATTTAACTTACACTCCCAAATTCTGGTATATTTTTCAAAATAATCTATATATAACATATCGAATTAGATCGTGTTACATCGAAATTTTTATTTCAATTATAATTCTATTTTTACGTATATTTAGGCTGTGAACAGCAACAAGGATGTAGCATTAGTGGTGGCTGTGGCGACTCTGTACCGAGTTGTCGTCCTTTGGAGACAAATAGAAGCGGAGTTGGTTCTGGAGGAGCTGGAGATAATCAAGGGCACAATACGAATCAAACTCAAGTTCAGCCCCATGTGACAGTACCACCAGTTACTTATCAACAAAGGCCCAACTCTTTATCCGCTTGTTATGCATCATGTTGTGCTGAATCCGCAAAAAAGGTTCATTTTTTTATTACATTTTAATTACAATAATTTGCAAAAAAGTTTGACTTCCAATAATATTTTAAAAACAACCGAAGGAAATAGGAAATGTATATATATATATATTTGGTCAAAGAAATTCTTATTTTTAAATATTAAGAGCTGTTTTATAATGGTTTTTAAATGCTAATAAATACTTATAAATGATAAATACTTTGAAAATGAAATTTTTTTATTTCGTAAAAGGTCTTTTCACAGTCTAGAAAGAGACTTAGAACTTAGAAAACTCTAAAACTCTACATAAGAGAAATTTATTCTGTATTTATCAAATGTATCTTTTTATTGTTTATTGTACTGTCTTTTTATTGTCTGTGTGTGTGCGTGCGTGCGTGTGTGTGTGTGTACTATATATTAATAACAAATATATTAA